ATTTTTTTGAAATGTACCAAAAAACACGTTTTTCGAAAAAATTACGTAAACGCTTGTTTGAAAAGAAAATTGGCTTGGAAAATATTTTTTTTCTTAAGCGATTACCATAAAAGTTGTAGAACAGTGTTATCGATATATTTGATGCCGGTATTCAATTTCTCGTCATCCATTGTCCATAACCGTAAAATATTTAGAACGCATTTACTAGATGAACCTTCAAAACCAGCTTACTCTTATGTAGTTATCAATTAGTTATCGACACTGCCTTTACTTCAATTAGGAAAAGTTAATTTTAAAATATCGAAGAAATGCGGGACAAAGGCAGGACACTTGGAAAAAAAACAGTACATTTTTGGGGTTTTCTGTTTAGAAAAATTACGCAGGACAACCTTTAAATAACAGTACGGTCCTGCAAAAAACAGAACGGATGGTCACCGTAATTATATAATAAACCCAAGGTATAACTTAACATCTTGTTTTTTTTATACCCGAGCGCACTTGTGCACAAAGTTTGTTCACATAACGGTTGTTTGTAACAGGCAAAACGAATCGTGATAAATATAGACAATAGTATACATAAACGATCAGAATGAAAAGAGAAATCGATTAAGCGGTGACTGTCTGTCCGTCCGTCCGTCCGTCTGTGCACACGATAACTCGAGTAAAAATTGAGATATCCTAACGAAACTTGGTACGTGCACTTCTTTTGGGCATGGGACGGACGGTATTGAAAATGGGCGAAATCGGACAATAACCACGTCTACCTCCCATATAACGGTAATTTTCAGAAATACGAAAACTGCGATATTTTAGTAACTACTGAAGATAACTTACTCAAAATTGATATTTATAATGATTGTTAGACGGAAAATAAGATTACTAAAATTTTTTGGAAAATGGGCGTAGCCACGCCCACTTATGGTTACATGTATATATCTTGGTAACCGCTGTACCGATTTGTTCCAAACTTGGCACAGTTGTTGGCCCTGGCACAGCATACTAAACGGCCGAATTTTTAAAATCGGACAATAACCACGCCCACATCCCATATAACGGTAATTTAGAAAAATACGAAATCCTCGATAAATCATTAAAAATTAAAGCTGTAACAAAACAAGTTTTGTTGTGTTTAAGGGTAATTTATTTTAAGGTAGTTTAAGTGTTCACAATTTCACTGATTTTCTACAAAGGAAATAGTGCTAGCGGTCAGTAGCAGCAGAGCAAGCGCCAATTGCAATGTAGAGACGAGCCATCGCTGTTCATCTAACATGGCAACCATCTTGCTTAAATATATGCTTAGCACACTTAGAACGGCGAACTATCGCTCGCCACGTTCCTTGCGCACTCC